GAATTTTCATAAAAAATGGTCAAATGACTGCTTACTTTAATTTCATGCATTTTTATTATTGTAATTGATTTGTTATAATATAATTTATAAGGATTTAAAAAATTGTCATATGATGATTTTAAAAATTTTTTTATTGAAAAAAATTAAAAGAAAAAATTTGACTTGTAGAAAATTTGAAAAATTCTAGGTGGAATTTTTTAAAAATATTTTTTTAATTATAATTTTTATTGATTTAAAAAATCAAAAATTGTCAAATGTCTGCTAATTTTAATATCATAAAAATAAATTATTATAAAAAAAAAAATTCTATTGGCAAATGTGTCAAAAATTTTTTTTAATAATTTATTTGTTATAAAATTCCAAAAAATGAAATATGTTTGCTACTTTCAGTCTTGCTAACTTCAGTATCACATCAACTTCTAGTCCATAAACAGAACTAACTTCAGTGTCATCTGAATTTATTATCAAATAAGAGAAGAGTAATATAATTTAAATGAACAATTAAAAAAACTTTCTAGCTGTTAATAACATAAACCAAAAAAGTAAGTAATAAATAAATAAAATAAAATGAAGAAAAAATAAGTACAATAGAAAGTAAAATTCTAAAAAGAGCAATTCACAAGTTTACTGTGTACATTGCAATTGATGGTTTTATTTATATACGTTGACTCCGTACATAACCGAACGTCCACTTAATCCCGGTAATAATGATGATAATGATTATAATGACGATAATAATAATAAAGTACAAAGTTTGATCATAAGAATTTTAAATTGCTCATTTTTGATGATTTATAACCAAAATGATTGGATTTAGCTGGCCAATAAATCCTATGAATTGCTTTATTAAGAAATAAAGAGCAAGAAGAAAAAGTGAGACAAAGTGAAGAAGAGGATACCAGAGTATGATTATGAGTACAAGACGGACCGTAGGTCAGAGTAAATATAATTGATGAACGACCAAACAGACGTGTATTTTGCTTCATCACCATGATATTTATGTTGGCACTACCTTTAAAGTAAAAAAGTGATTTAACCAACGGTAGCGTGAGGTCATGAAGAAACTTTAAACTACATACATACATACTTTATACCCACACCATCACTAAATATATAAATATGTATAAAATACTGAAGAAAGTTTACGAGTAATTTTTATCTTCGGAGAATATCGCAACCAGTTACATGACAGCTATTAGACCAAGCCAGAGCCCATTACCATTACCCTTAAGATATTTATACTCATTATTGTTGTTTTTTTTTATTTTACAGTGTATTATGTTCTACGAATACCGTCACTCGGAGCCAACTGGTATTGCTGTTGGTACACTGATCCAGTAGATAAAACCCAACGACCTTGCCGCACCCTTGAAACAATGTCAACCGTCCAATCAGCATCTATTAATCCGACTATTAATCGTCATGCAGATTTTTATTTGCAATCTAGATTGATGTGAAAGTATGTTTTACGAGACGCCAGACGCTAAACTACAATTCCAAAGATGCATTTTCAATCTAGGTGAGTAATTATTTCTTCTCAGTGATTAATTTTTAATTTATTATATTTAAGCTGAGATGACGGAAATAAGGAATATCAAGATAAAAAATTGTTACAAAAAAATTTTTAAAAAATGTGACTTGTAAGAAACTTCAAAAACTGTAAGTGAGATTTTTTAAAAATAGTTTTTTGTTTTAATTTGATAATTAAAAAAAATCAAATAATTAAAAACTTCGGATAACTTTAGTATCATTTTTGTTCTAATTAAATTAATGGATAAAAAATTAAGATATTAATAACATTGGCTAAGTTTAGGATTATCATTTTTTATGATATTAAAATTAGCCGACGCAAAAATTTTTGATTTTTTTTATTAATTAAATTAGAACAAAAGAAATATTTTGACAAAATTGCACGTATAATTTTTAAAACTTTCTACATGTGAAATTTTTTTATCGAATTAATTTTTTAAAAAATTATTAAATTTTGTCTATTAGAATTTTTATAAAATTATTTAAATAAAATTAATTTTTTTTTAATTAAAAAATAAACTTATTGAATGCATTTTTTAAACAATTTAAAAAATTTTAATTGTCTAGAGCAGGAAATAATTGTAGAATTTTAATTAGCATTTTTTTTTAAATAGTAAAAAGAATTTTAATTACCTATTTAACAAACTAGAATAGAAAAATTTTAATTTGTTCTTTTAAAAATAAAATTTAACTCTAACAAAATTAAAAATTTATCAGTTTCATTTTTCTATTAAAAAATTTGCAGCGTTTATTAAGCCAGCAATAATTAAACTAATTAATTTTTTTAATAAAATTTAAAGCCTAACAAATTAACAAAATATTTTAATTATGAAATTAAGTAAAAAAGCAAATATATTTTTTTTTAACGTTAATTTCCTCGCACTCGTGATTTATTTCTTTTTCCTGACAAACTTGCGCACACTATCAATTAGATGATATATCTTCAATAGATGTACGTGTATGTGTATAGTAAGATAGGATATATAAGAAGTTGGACATTTATTACGTAGTCAAGCTAGGAGCGTTTCGCAATTGCTGTATAGACCAAGTCGCTCTCAATTTATGGGCTTGAACATAAGGATCGAGTTCTCGAACATGGAATTATCCATTGACCATCTCGAATTGCAAATGATTAAGATGCAACCATTATACATAAATTCGCCTATAAATTAATTAAACAAAAACTAATTAATAACTTATGATGACAAAAAGTGAACCGAATTTCTTAATATATCAAACAGAATTGATATATGTAGGTATATTAATACAAGAATTAAAATTCTGAAAAAAACCCAGAATTTTTAGGAAAAAATTTCACACGTGTAAAACCACGTGTCCCGTTTTGCGGGTTGTATACCTCGGTATACATTTATAGTTTATAAATTATAATGATGATCAAATGTTGCGAACAGCCTCCGGGAACAAACGTCCAGCTTAGCTCTTTTACATACGCCCTCGCAGTCAGTATACAGAGTGCCAATAAATCTAAGCATCGAGTCTAAGCCACATAACACGAAGGTGTGTAAACCCCGTACCGGTGTCGTGTTATTACCACACACGTCTTGTACGATACTCTGCTTCATACAACAACAGATCCGTCCATCTACATCAGCATCACTCAATCTTCAGCTTCACTCACACAACACCGTCATTCTTATAATAACTATAATATAATATAATATATAATAACATTAGCTGCGTAGGCTCTAAGGAGTGTTGATGCACGTTAAAAGTACCGTGCTATTAAACCTTATAACAATAATAATAATAAAAACAACAATGATAATAATTTTAAAAATCCATTAATAGCTGAAAAGCCAGTCATGTTAATCTACGGTTAAGACAAAGGTAGTAAAAATTTGATCCTACAAAAAAGGTTACCCGATAGTCCACTGATGCGGTGAAGCTCCACTAAACTTCAATCTTAATTTAGAATCAAAAAACTTTCTTTACAAATATTTATATTAATATTACTGATTTGACAAAATTAAAGGTAAATTTTTACAATGAAATTTCTATTTGATTTTATTTATATACTTTTTTTTTTTAAAATACATAAAAAAATGAACAATTAAAAAAAAAGAGTTTATCACAATTTAAAAAAATTTATAAATTTTTTAGAAAATTGTGATATTTAAATAAAAAAATGAATAATTAAAAAAAAAAGTTGATCATAATATTTAAATTTTTTTTTTTAATTATTTGTTTTTTATGTACTTTTCAAAAAAAAAAAATTATCAAAAAAAGATAAAATAGAAATTTTATCCAAAAACATGAGAGCCAAAATTTTTCCCAAATTTTGAAGACAAAAAAGCATTTGACATTTTTATCATAAATGCGCCGTAAAAAACAGAATAAAAAAAAATGTGAAAATGTTAATTTTTCACCTACTTATGGCCCAAAATGGGGTTGACCCCACTTGTAATAAGTTACCAAATAAAAATTTCAGTATTTTACTATACATTGAGAATTTTTTTTTTTTTTAATATAAATTTTAGTAGATAAAATATGAGATTGAAATTTTTTAGAAGAAAAAAAATATTTAATTCTATTTTCTTAGATTAACATACAAGTAAATCTTTTGTTCAGTGTATCTATTTGTATAGTAACTATCTCACCAAATATTTACTTTTCAACAGTATAATAAGTCACTTTAGTTTCATTTATCAAATTTTAAGTAAACAAAAAAAAATATTCTCAGATTCTATTTGTTAGAATTTTTCTTAATTTAAAATTTTAAATATAATAAATGTGATTACATAAAATCCGTATCATTATTTAAAATTATACACAGAAAAAAAAATTTACTTGAATCAATAATTTTGAAGAATTAAATTTTCTTGATTTGAGTAAAAAAATTCTTAAACTAAGAAATTTTTTTTTGTTTTACTTAATTCAAAAATTTTTCGTCTTGATTCAAAACATGAAACCTTTCAAAATTATTTCAAGAATTTTTCTCTTGATTTAAGTTAATTTTTTTTTTCAGTGTACTTTTGAATAACTAATTATTAATTTTTCCCAATTTAAAAAAATTGATAAATATCTTAATATTGCAGATGCAACATAAGGTTTCTTAAAGTTGAGTAGTGTGCGTGTGAAGCGATTATAATATTATTTCTGGGATAACAACCCACCTTCAGCCTACAGCCTACTCTTTTATGACGTCGGACATATAATAGTATCGAGTTGCTCCTGCACATAATACCAGGACAGAACAGCAGCCAGCAACCTTTACTTAGTCAGACGGCCTTACCAGCCATACACAAAGACTCAACTCGCCCCGAGTTCCTAGCGCCTGAGAATTTAGTGCAGACTAACGGTACTGGAACTCTGATGTGGAGTTATATTAGTACCACAACACACTACACGTACCACAGTAATATAATAATAATAATAATAATAACAATAATAATAATGATAAGTGTAGAGTGTGTACATACATACATAGACACAGCAGACAGCGATATTGTTTAAGTGTGTGAGAATTTCTTGGGCACATGGATAGTGGGGTGCATTGAGAAGAGCATGAGGCCCAGGGTGTATGTAGGTCTCGCATCCTCATTGGCTACCGCTGTACCGATTACACTGTACATATAGTCAGTCGTGGATAGCGGACTGACTGCGGCTGCTCTCTTACTCTTGCTCTGCGATCTAGAGATACAATATACATGTAATGTAGGAGTGTAAGAGTTAGTGTAAGTGTAATAAGAGTCAGACTTACTTACCTTAATGTTACTTTGTAAGACTTAGTTTGCTTGTATTGACTCGGCTCTTGGCTCTCAAGTCTCCTATCCAGTCTCGAGTTTATTTCACCTGCTGATATGAGCTCGGATGTTGGTGCGGCTAAATGCGCAAGCGCATTTGTACCGAGCACCGGAACCCCCTTCAGGTACCAGACCCAGAACCCAGAACTCCTGGCTCCCCTACTGAGGAGCACCCACGGAATTTCTCGCTTCGCTGACCCCCGACGAGTTTCGGGCACCGCAAGTGTCGATGGACTCGGTCTACTCACCCTCAAATCCATTCCATTGCCTGAGAAATTATATTACTTGTTTTTTTTTTTTAATTTGTTTTAGTCAGGTGGAGAAAAAATAATGGAAAATTGATTATTTCTTTTTTTTTTTTTTTGATAATATTCGTCAGATTTTTTTCTTGGGGTTAGATATTGAAAATAAAAAAAATTACTCAACATTTTTTATAGAGTTCAATATCAAATAAATAAACATGAAAAAATTGTTTGTAAATATTTATGATAACGTGACAATTTTTTTATTTTTAATAAAAAAATTTGTTCAAAAAAATTATTTTTAAAAAATTGCATTTTTTATTTTTCAAAATTTCTAAATGTCAATTTTTTTTCTAATTTTTTTTTTTTGCTATAATTTATTTGTTATAAAATTATTAAATATATGCTCAATTAATTTTCATAAAATAATTCATCATTATGGAGCTTATTTATAGAAGTATAAAAATATCTGATGGATTTTTGTCAATCTTATTTAAATCTTTTAAAATACTCTACATCTCTAGTGAATTTTAGCTCCAAATTTTTTTTTTCAAATTATAATTTTGTTGTAGACTTAAAAAAAATTAGAATGAAAATTTTGAAGATTTAAAGTATCATAAATATTTTACTAAAATTTTTTCAGTAAACTCTGATTATTTTGTAAAATTAAAAAAAAAAAAAAATAACGCGCATATCTTCCTTAAAATTGATTTCAAAATAACTTCTAAGATTTCAGAGGCCGAGTGTGCAAGATGACTTTATCTTTTAAATCCTTACGCTTTCCAGTGAAAATAAAAATTTCCCAGAATTCATTATTATATTGTTGAATTAATATCATGTAGTATTTTAAGGAAACGGGTAATTAGAGAGTTCATTTACCGGAGAAAATATTAGACGTGTATCCCAGAGCGGACTAAACAGTACTAATTCATATCGGCGGGCTCGAAGCTAATGTACCTGTGGAATGTTGACAAAAGAAATCTGTGCAAGTGCACTACACACCCAATGCTCTTCTTAACTTACCTGCCGGTGCTCATATTATAGGCACCTGGCTACATAGTATTATAGCTGAACTTATTTCTCTCTACCGCGTGCTCCCGCCACGTGATTTTTATGCCAGTTTCGCTGTCTCCTTCTCTCGACTAACTACAGGCTGCAACTCATAGAAAAAGAAAGCGAAGTTGGCCAAGTAGTTGCGGCCGATACCTTTTAAATTTTAAAAATCCATACAACTGAAAACCGTAAATTGTTGTTTATATAATCACTATTTTTATTTTAATTTACCTAAAAATTATTCACACGCCGCTTGTAAGGATCCGTTCGTCTTCACGATAAAAAAACGTCACACCCAATAAGGGATTAACCTAAATCTTCTCGTATAATTTTTCATTGTTCCTTTGGATTAACTGTATTGATTTTCATCGACAAAATCTTTTCCGTTTGAAAATTTAATAAAATTTATCGACTAGACGAACAAAGATTAAATTTGTCATTAAATTCAGTGAGAAGAATTAATTTTGTTCCAATTTAATCTTCTGTTGTCTTGACTGTCAATTACCGTTTTATTTTATTAATTCAATCTTCATCAGACATCTACAAGATAAAAAATACTTCTATAAACAGTTATATAAGTAATTACTATTCGATTAGAAACATCAACTATTGTAAACATACAATGTAAATTTAGATAATTTAAAAAAGGTATATAACCTTCTCACATATGTTCTATCATTGCATTTACTCTAGTAAAAAATATGTAAAAAAAAATAGTTTTGGTAATTATTTACATTTTGGACCATACTAGGTGAAAAATTAACATTTAAAATTTTTTTTTTATTCTACTTGTTTTTATAGCGCCTTTATGATAAAAAATGTCGTGAAAAAAAAATGAAGATTTCGATAGCTTTTTTGCCTTTAAAAGTTGGAAAAAATAACGAAAATTAATTTAGCAGATATTGAATAATTTTTCTAATAAATAAATTACTGGATAAACAATTGAGAAAAAAAATTGACATTTAGAAAATTTAATAAATTAAAAATACAATTTTTAAAAAAAAATTATTCGAAACAAATTTTTTTATTAAATAAAATTAAAAAATGGTCAAGTGACAGCTAGCTTTAATATCATAAAAAATATTGGATTTTATATTTTTGGATAAAATTTCCATTTTATCTTTTATTGATGTTTTTGATATTTTTTTTTTTTTTTGGAAAATAAATAAAAAAAAAAAATTTGATCAATTTGATGAAAAAAAAAAAAATAATAATTAATTTAGCAGAAAGTTGATAATTTTAAGAATTTTTCTAACAAATAAATTGTGACAAAAAAAATTGACATTTAGAAATTTAAAAAGACTAAAAATGCAATTTTTTTTAAATAATTTTTTGGAGCAAATTTATGTGTTAAAAAAATTAAAAAATTGTCAAGTGACAGCTAAATTTAATTTCATAAAAAAAAAAAAAACAAATTTTCTATGGCCAAACATTAATAATTAATAATTACCAAAATTTTGGAGTAAAAATTTTAATATATCTCCTGCGAATTTACTGTGAAAATTTTTCACCGTAAAACATATTGAATTATAACATTATTTTAAAAATTACAAAATCTACACGCTCCATTATTGTGAATCTGTAATTGCTGAAATTATTGTAATTTACCATGGCGTGTGTATACTTTAAAAAATTAAAGGCTATCAATTCCCATAAATATTAAACCAAGAATAAATTTCCAGATTGCAGTGTTCCAATCTATCAAACTTCCATCTAAAAAAATTTTCTTCCCCAAAAAATCATTTCCCTTTCATTAATTACTTATAAAAATCAATCAATAAAAAGCACCGATGATCCCGAAAATTAATCAGGCAGATCACGCCTGTCTCCTCGTCGAACTCTCCGTATGCTAGACATAAAGCTCCACGACAATATAATAATCCGGCATTGAATTCTCCGTTTCCACAAACAGTGATATAGTGTATCTCTCTCGCTCTCGACGTCCTTGATGTATCCTGCAGCCTGAAAATAATATCCCGTGCATATAAATGTGTGGACATCATATCACACATAAAATAAAACATTTACCATCACAATGATAGAACAATCCAGCGTATACCCATACATGTGTATGTGGAGATATTTTCACTGGCTTGGTCACAAGTACCAGCACCAGCAGTCACGGCACCGTGGTTGTGGGTGGTGGGGTACCGCTTACTTCCCCTCCGTATTTTACCTATACAACACAATTCAAATAAAATTACCCACACAGATAATAAATATTACAGGTACAAGCTATAAGCCACACACTGACAACCCAACAGTGGGGCCGGAGTGGAGAAGGAGCCTAGGTGGGGAATAGAAGTACCGCTATCCTGAGAGTTGCCTCAGGCAAAATACATACCTACCTACCTACCTACCTAGCTCGTATCGCTGTGATGTCGGACTTGTCGTTTACCAACAGTTTCTTACTCCTATACAGTACAACCGACCAACACACTGACAGCTCACAACCTACAGCACATATTTATATTTTATATATAATATAACTACCTACTGCCTACCTGGTATATATGTATATTCCAACACCAACACATTACATCCAACAAAAGCACATGGACTAACTCAAACATAAAATGCAACGTCGTGTGCTGCCATCCTACCACTTTTGTACCCGGCTATACCGTAATCGAGGCGGCCGGTGTACGCCATAGGCCGGCACTCTAGGCAGCTCCTCGGGGACCATAGCGGCAGTGGCCTGAGCCGCCTCCTGACGAGCAGACTCCTGTGCTCAGGCTCGGTTAATTTTATAAAATAAAAATAACATTCAAAAAATCTGAAAGTTAAAAATATTAAAAATTAATTAATAATATTGTTGTGTTTTAAAACTAACCTCAAAAAAATAGTGATATTTTTTAAATAATAATAATAATAAAATGTTGAAGTGAAAAATAATGTTACTAGTAAAATTAAAAACTAGTAACTAGTAAATGATACGGATCGCTGCGTCCTTATCCCACTAGTGGGTTTGTGAAACCCCGTCTGAAAACGAGTTGAGCTCGCACGTTGGAGAACTTGGTGTCGTTTGCCTCGGCTAAATGTCAGCGTATTCAATAAGGTGAAGTGAGGTGACTGCTGTTAGCTTCGTCCCTGTTTCTGTTAACAGAAAAATATCAGGTGTAGTTTCTTTTTTTTTTTTTTTGTTTGTTTAATTTAAATAGAATATTTAAACTTGACTCGGTTTTGGTGAACTGTGCGGTACTAAGTGGCTGAGGACAGGTCAGCAGTTAGTTGATATTTGACACATGAGAGTCAGCGGTGTCTCGATCGCGTTAACATCTGTTAGCGATCGAGCGTGTGTGCGCATTCTCGGTTCCGAGTACGTGGCGGCTCGATTTCTTCAGTTTTAGCAGAAGAACATGTGAAAATTAATTTGAAGGATTTTTTAAATTGTTGGATGGATTTTTATTGTAAATTCGCCTTTTTCTTTCGGTTACGCGTAGTGCTTTCCGGGTTCATCGGTGTGCATCGTCCCGGACAGTTCTGCACAGATGTGACGACGATTACACGGAAGAAAACTGAGAAACAGAGTAAGAAAGAGATGAGATAAGTTTTTTTAAACCAGGATGACCGTGATAAGGATAACGATGGCTCTGAGAGGTAACAGTGGTTGTGATTATTATCAGTGTCGCGAAAACAGATCGATAAACCTTTGATATTTTCATTTATAAATATATATACTTAGTAGGATACTTACAGTGCGTGTATTACCACTTTCCCTCGGTGATTTTACTTGTTTGCTCGTTAACTACCATTTTTACTTTTTATAACAACTTGTAGCGCGAGTTGATTTTGTTAAATCTATTTTTGATTATCGAGGAAACTAATACAGTTGTGATTTACTCAGTGATTATTTGTTGATAAAACTTGTTGGTATCTATTTTTAATCTGTAGACACTTTTATTCCCGTCTGGTCTTACTGCTTTGTTTGCAACCAGGTTCGTATTGTTTTTTTTTATTATTATACTCTTTTCATCCATACTTT